GTGTGTGTGTGTGTGTGTGTGTGTGTGTGTGTGTGTGTGTGTGTGTACTGGGTAATGGGGAACTATAACGGCGATTCAAGAAATACAGCCTACGTAAGACTGTAGTTATAATTGGTAGCTAATCATTTAGTACAATCTTCAATAATTAACGTGATTTTGCTTATTTTTAAACTTCAATTACTTATTTATTTATTTACTGAGTCATACTGGAAATACTGATACTTGTTATTAGACACGATTAATCTGTGATAATCCACATATAGTATAATTACAAACATTCATGGGATTGTGATAGGTAACTGCAGTAGTTGCAGTTAGTAGATTTATAATAAAGTGTATTTGTGTTAATAAATAGAAGAACATATTCGCTACAGAAACGGTTAGAAGAAATACGACAGGCGTGCTCGTATACGAATAAATAATATATTACTGCGGCAACAAAATGTCATTCGTCGACGTACAAAACTAGACGTTTACGTGCTACGAGTTTGAACGCGATCGTCTTTCTCCGGACGCTTGCATGCGTTATTAGTGCGTCTGTCTAGTACTCCGTCTCCTCGTTAGTTATAGAAGGCCTCTGTCTCGAACACACAGACAATGCTGATAAAAGTGTACCCTTGTCGTGATCTGCAGCTCGCAGCGAGCGGCGGGCGAAACTGTCGACAGCACATCATCGACGAAAATACACCGAGGAATAGAGAGAGAGAGAGAGAGAGAGAGAGAGAGAGAGAGAGAGAGAGAGAGAGAGAGAGAGAGAGAGAGAGAGACATAGAGAGAGAGAGAGAGAGAGAGAGAGAGAGAGAGAGAAATGAGCGCACGCACTTGTACGGGGCCTGTGAAATATAGCGGAAAACAATAAGAAATCGCGTTGCTTTGGAGTAAATTACTCTCGGTGCATTCGCGGTGTATTTCAGACAAAGTCCTAGGCAAGCGTCACTGTTAAACGACTCTCGTGTTCGATTTACAAACAAATGCGTGCTGCATTTTCACTCGTACGGCATCTTTCCTCAGAGGGGCAGTAGTAGTATAAGCAAATAGTAGCATATAGTAGCAAGTACAGGTAGATATCACGATTTGCTTACGGTAGTGTTACGATGTAGAACACATTTTACATTGCGGTGACGACTAGGAAGATGAAATTCCTAATTATACATACACGTCACCAATCATACACTAATATGTGGTGTGTGTGTGTGTGTGCGCGCGCGTGTGTGTATGTATGTATGTGTTTGTGTATGTGTGTATACGTATGTATGTGTGTGCGTGTGTCTGTGTGTGTGTGTGTATGTGTATGTATGTATGTGTTTGTGTATGTGTGTATACGTATGTATGTGTGTGCGTGTGTCTGTGTCTGTGTCTGTGTGTGTATGTATGTATGTGTGTATGTGTGTGTGTGTGTGTGTGTGTGGGTGTGTGTGTGTGTGTGTGCGTGCGTGTGTGTGTGTGTGTGAGTGTGTACTGGGTAATGGGGGACTATAACGGCGATTCAAGAAATACAGCCTACGTAAGACTGTAGTTATAATTGGTAGCTAATCATTCAGTACAATCTTCAATAATTAACGTGATTTTGCTTATTTTTAAACTTCAATTACTTATTTACTTATTTACTGAGTCATATTGGAAATACTGATACTCGTTATTAGACACGATTAATCTGTGATAGTCCCCATATAGTATAATTACTAACATTCATTGGATTGTGATAGGTAACTGCAGTAGTTGCAGTTAGTAGATTTATAATAAAGTGTTTTCGTGTTAATAACTAGAAGAAAATATTCGCTACAGAAACGGTTAGGAGAAATACGACAGGCGTGCTCGTATACGAATAAATAATATATTACTGCGGCAACAAAATGTCATTCGTCGACGTACGAAACTAGACGTTTACGTGCTACGAGTTTGAACGCGATCGTCTTTCTCCGGACGCTTGCATGCGTTATCAGTGCGTCTGTCTAGTACTCCGTCTCCTCGTCAGTTATAGAAGGCCTCTGTCTCGAACACACAGACAATGACGATAAAAGTGTTGGAAAAGTGAAAGGAAAGTTAGCCGCATGCTACTGGCTCCTTGTCTGCGATCGTGTGTTTGAGTACTTGTTAACTTCGCAGGTATATCACAACAGAACGCCCCGAATGTCTCCCGGTGCGGGCGCGCTCATAATGAATGATTGGCGGCCGACGGCGCTGCGACCCGCTCACCTGACGAGAGGGATCGGCTGGAGCAGGGAGCGCAGACAATATCGGCAATTACGTCATTGTGCGCCGGTAATTACCGAACAATGCCCAACCGGCGCCGAACAATGCCGATTACAGCTGCGTCTGTGGAGTTGAGGCGGAGAACTAATCAAGGCACTGAGAACTTTTCAAAACCTGGCCGACCGGACGGCAGGAGAGACATGCGCGAGCACAATCTGCGCATGCGTGTATGAATAAATAAATATTAATAATAATAATAGTGCTAGAATATTAAGAATAATATAGGATATTATATAATATGGATCAGAATAATTATTAAGAATAAAAAAATTTATAAATAATAGAAATAAATTATTGAAAATACATCGATTTATGTTAATTAGAAGTAACACTATTACCAATTATAATTGTAGTTAAATACTACTGACTGTTACATGATCTATCCGTAATCAGTGCAGTGTTCCGCAGGTCATAAGATCGCTGTATCATGCATGAAAGAGCTTTGTTATATATAGAGTATATATTAATTTAACGAGTAATTGTTTAAATAGTTTATATTTTCTATTATGGTACTTTCCACATTCTCAAAACAAGCATCACAATTAATATGTTGCAATATGTAGTACAAGCTATGAATTTGCGTAAAGTATCACATAATGTAGTTTAAAACGCTCGAGTAAATTTTCGTGACTCTAGTTTCTCGAACGACAGGTAAAGGTTTATGGAAATGGCGTCCTCCCGTCTGCCTCACATATTTGGCACTGAATCAGTATAGGCTTTCCGTGTGGTGTTGTGCGTAATTGCATTTCACGTTTAGCAAACGGATGAGTAGTTATTTTATTCGCTTTAATTTATCGAATGAATCTAATGTGCTCGTGCGCATGTAGTAACATATTCCTCGATACATTTCACTAAATAACAGAATCATTAATATTGTATCGTCTCCACTGACATATATTATACATAAACGTATTTGCGAGACATATAATAATTATTCACACACGAAAAGATATTGCTATAAAGCAATTCGATCTTATGGATACGGCGAAGCACACGGCCTTCACGGGTCATCATCACCTATGACAGTTTCAGTGTGATAACTAGACTCAACTTGCTTTTTGCACTAATGTATTTAACCGTCCTCTTCTCTTTTAGTTATACGCATTTCAATTCGTGCGTCATCCTGGTTCAGTAAAACGAGTTGTATACTAAAATGTATACTAAATATATTTACGCGGTTGTCTTTAAATTATTCAATATTTTAGCTCTTTACGATAGTGTTTATTATGGACTAGAAATATAAGAATATCAACCGCATAGCATACTGTTGTATTCGTAATGTTTTTTTCTTGAACACTCAAAGATTAAATAAACGTCAATGGTTTCAAATAGCTATTGTTTTTTTGTAATTAGGAGAGATCTGTTTAATCTGCCAAGCGAGTTAAACATCATTCCTGCTCTTCATTTCCTGCAATATCACATCTGTAAAACTGTCTGAAATTCCACCTATCGAAATATAATTATGCAATAGTACATAGCCGGCATATTTACATGGAACGATTTTTAATGCTTCCAACTCATATGTAGGTGCCAATTACCACGAACGCAGTAGTTGTAAAAATGAATTCCCAACTGCAATCACTTTGAAGGTAAATCATTTGTAAGTTGAGTCATTTGTTCTGTTACGCGGATTTCGTTGAAAACGCGTATTGAAATCAGAACTACCATTCAAATTGTGTGAGTGAACATTTGAATGAGCCAATCTAGGAACTATCTAGTACAATCAAATGTTACCAACGTCCGACGTCGGGCTTTTACGGCACTTGATATATTCACATGCTGATAATAATAATAATAATAATAATAATATATATATATATATCATGTACTATTAGTTTACACTGTGATATTTTACACATCTAACGGGCAACATCTAGCGTGCAGCGATTCTACGTCTATCAGCAGAATGTTTCGGGGCCGTCTGGTACGCCTAGAGGAAAATGATTCTGCAGCACGAGACCTTGTAACATGTCAATCGACGACTCATTCTGTCTATCACTGTCGCTGTCGGAGTGCTGCGCGTCGTCCCGATGTGGATCAGGTCGGTCGGCGGCGTCGACGGTGCCGTGTAACGACGAGCTGGGCTCGCATATACTCACGTCGACAATGTCTCCCGTCGCGACTACCGACGCCACCGCGACATCATCGCCACCTGTCGACAGACCGTTCACGGGCAGAATCTCGTTCAGCGACGATTTCCTCTGCCGGACATTGTTCCCCTTCGCCGCCGCCGCCTCGCTCTCGTTGGCGCCCACCAGGAGGCGCTGCTGCAGCTCTGACGCCGACGACGACGGCCTCGCCGCGCGAGACTTTTGCGCGTTTGCGCACGGCGCGTGCGACGTTGTGCTCGTTTTGCGGGCGACGGGCCTAAGCGGCGGCTTTCCGTGCTGCAAGCGTTTCAGACTTAGGGCTCGCTCGCTGATGTAGTAGTCACCTTTCAACGACATGGACACGGTATGGCTGTAGGAGTTATAATTTGCATAGTTGTCCCCGTATAATTCTGCAAACATAAACATAAACATAAACCTAAACATAAACATTAGCATAAAGTCGGCGTGCACGTGTATCATACGTAGAACCAAAAACTCAGGTAAAATCAAGACACTTTATGCGCTATACGTTTACGTTTGAGCGCATCCGTGGCACGATGCGATGATATGTAACATATACAGAGTTTTATTATTTATCATTGCCACCGAGATTGGAAGTAAACGAGAAAAGATTGAACACATAAAGTGTTTTCCAAACTCTGTCAGAAAATCATTACATTATGCGATGAAAATATAAAAAAAAAGTAATTTTAGAAACTAAATGTCATCATGCTACGCAAAAGCGCACCCACTAATTTTGATGTAAATATATTGGATTCAAATATAGCTATCGGCCATCGACTCATAGTTTGTCATTCACCAATTAGGTCAAATGCACACCAGAATAAATATTTAAAACGATGCGTTGCCAAATTATCATACACCGTGTACTCAAGCAATTCTATTGTGCAACATTGCAGCGCCCTCTACCGTAAACATCTAGGAGAAATTGATCTATGCGACATGTAACAAAGTTGCAGCGTAACTTTTTACTTATTCCGTACATAAGAAGTTATTCGTGTGTTCAACGGCTGTCATATTTAAGATATGTAAAGTACGAACTTGTCTAAATGACCTCTCTCGACTAAATGCTCTATAGACATATACGTTGCTCTGTGAGCGAAGTACGTTAACGAAGCGGCAGCGAGAACAGACATAACTACTAATTAATATAAACTAATTAATATTACATTATTAAATCATGATAATATATAGATGTCGTTTTTTAATTACATAATAAATTAAATATTGGTGCGAACGTGTGAGGACTGTATAGGCACTAATATATTCAATTGCAACTCTACTAGATGGAACCGATAAATCGATAGTAAAATGTTATGCCTTGTATCACTGTACCAAACATAACTCGTTTATTATTCCTTTGATTTTTATCATTTGACTGCTTCACCATTGTACATATAGGCGCATAGGATATGTAGTGATATGAAATTTTCTATTGGGAAATGCGTGGCATTTCTTCATAGGGTTCTATGGTCGTGTCGATTTCTTTTCGTGTCCCAAATAAGACGACATCCACACTGAGCTAAATTTGATGACAGTGTAAAATATATCGGCGATAAACAGGCCACTTTCTGCGTCAATAGCATTACTCTTAATCTTACTCTTACTTTCATACTGTGTAGTTTATGTGCGACGAACATTACTCTTGCCTTTTCATCTCGTTCTGCGTGAATGTGCAAGCAGGCTATACACCAGTGTGGACGCAACATATAATGTGAGCGCGGATATGATAATATAATGTAAAATGTGATTTAATAAAGTCGTTTGCTGCACAGGCTTTATATATATATATATATATATGTGTGTGTGTGTGTGTGTGTGTATATATATATACCTGGATAAAATCGACGACCAATAGCAATGCGAACTTGTGCCACACAGCTGATGACACGGGCCTTGAACTGCACGGTGGCCATCGAGTATAACAACGGGTTGATGGCGGCGTTGAAGGGAAGCACGAAGACGGCTATCCACGCGAACACCTGCGAAATACGAATCACGCGACGAGCGTTGATTAATTACGCACGCACGCACGCACGCACGCACGCACTCACGCACTCACGGACGCATGCACGCATGTAGGGCCTACGCACGCACGGACGGACGCACGAAGTAAGTACAGACGGACGGACGGACGGACGGACGGATGCACGCACGCACGAGCGCACGCACGCACGTACGCACCCACGCAGGCACGCACGCACGCGCGCACACGCACGCACGCACGCACGCACGCACGCACGCACGCACGCGCGGATTACCTTACCTATAGCGCGGTTTATCTTGCCTCATTAGCGAGACCGAGTGAGCGCGCTTGAGTAACGCAGCAAAACATGCAGAGCAGACGCTGTAGCTATCTCTGTCTCGCCGTTTGCGCTAAAATTTAGTATTTATACGTTTTTTAAATAAACTGCCACGTTGAACATTCGGTGTCTGATTTCTAATGAGATAGCTTTATGTCACAGAGAGGTAAACTTTTTGTCACAGAGACGTGTTTACTGTTACAGATAGACTTGGTTTATGTCGCAGAGAGGTAAGCTAGCTTTATGTCACAGACAGGTAAGCTTCATGTCACAGAGACGTCTGCTATATTAATGAAGCCGTCGGGAAGCGGTGATCTCGTGTGCGGGAATGGCAATACCTGCGGCCCTGCGGATGGATGCATACATTCTTCACACACACACACACACGCACACACACACACACACACACACACACACACACACACACACACACACACACACACACACACACACACACACACACACACACACACACACACACACACACACACACACACACACACACACATGACGGTCAGCGGCTGAGTACGGACAGCTCGCTGGACAGCGTCGCGACGAAGCCGGACAGCTGGCAGAGCACGCCCTCGCCGCCAGAACATTGTCGTGTAGCGATGTAGACGCCGCGGTAGTAGGTGTCGACGGTGGCGAGTACGATTAGATAGACGCCTCCTAGCATGTCTCCGATGGCGAGGTTGGTGATGAGAAACGAGTGCACCTGCAACATTACGTCGACACGTTTATAGTCACACGCACGACCTAGTCGTGCGTTATATCGCAGAATCGGTGTAGTGGTATATGTCTATATATATATACCATTATATATATATATATATATATATATATATATATATATATATATGTGTATATATAATTTATGTCAGCTAAAATCCTGAGGAAGAATGTACGTCTCGAAAGCTCGCTGAAATTTAACACTCTTTAGGCTTATTTTATTTGAATTTGCTAACATATACATCAAGAGCAATAATACTCGGTATTATTAGCTCTTGATATACATATATATATATATATATATATTATTTTATTTATTATTTATTATTTATTTATTTTTATTTATTTATTTATTTATATATGTATGTATAATGTTAAAATCAGGACAGAATACTGTATCATAAATTTATTATTTATCGAATGGAGCGAGCGAGGTCGCTTCCTCGAGCAGTATGGAAACATGGCAGTATGGTGAAAAGCACGCTCGCCACGCAACAAAATTAAAACAACATGTTCTATTTTAAGACTTAATCATCGCATGTTCATTGCCAAAGTGCCAAAGTCGCAACCTCCTATTCCGCGAGCAATCTACTATATATATATATACAACACACACATATACTCTCTCTCTCTCTCTCTCTCTCTATATATATATATATATATATATATATATATACTAACGAGGTATACTAACCTTTCCTTTAAATTGATGACTATTTGCAATATAAATTTTAAACGTTAAAGCTTGAAAACCTAATAATAGAATAGCAAACATAAAATAATATCATTTGCGCGACGACGACACGTGAACGTTACTCACTTATAGAGCTAACACGATTTTCATTCACCGATTTCTCTGCTATTCTATTTTGCCTGTAGTTACAATCGATGACGACGACGCGTTGGCGCTCTAAGAAGACACTACATTCGGAAGTTTCCTCGCAGTCGTCGTCGTCGTCGGCGGCGTTCTGATTCGAACAGATTTCCGCAAGTCGATATTGCTCGCGGATTTTATATGACAGATCGGAACTTCATCGTTTCACGTCGCGTTCTATCCGAGCATTCGTACTCAACCCTTGATTGACCGCGTGATCGGATGAGATCGGCGTCGAAGTTAAGCGTTTTCGAGGCGAAATGGCGACTCGCTCAAACGCTTTCGTCCGCAAACCCGGTCGCCCGGCCATTACAGCGAAACGCGCTACTCGTGTACGTAAATAACTCCGCAGCGCAATAAGGAGATCATCGTTGTACTGAATTCAGGGCAGTGTTCGCCGGACGATGGCGACTACGATGCGATGAAGACTAACAAGCCATGATATCGGGAAACATTGAGAAGAGAGAGGGGGAGGAGGAGGTTATAACGTTAACGATAGTACGAGTCCAGACGGCCACGGAACGAAAAAAAAATAAACGAGCAAAAAAAAAACCGCACGAGGAAAACCGGAGACGAGAGAAGCGCCGTGAAAGAATTGGAAACCTAATTTGGAGCCACGATGTAACTCGGTTGCGACTATCGTCCCTCGGCGCCCCGACGTGGTTGTTAGTGTCAGCGCGGGATAAAGGGACGCGCTGCCGACCTGATGTCAGCTCTCACGCATGATTACCGACGATGTTTACGAAGGGCTGAATCAGAGATTTATAAATAGACGCGTTCGCGTTCAGGCACCCTGTATATGAGTATCACTACTGATGTATAGATGGCCAAACTATACACACAAACAGACGTATATATATATTGACGTTGATATATGCCTAATACTGATTGCGCTGGTGTGTTATTCAACTATGTTTTTTTTCAGATGAGGAATGCGCGAAAGAGGGAGGTGCTTGGGTGTTCCCGACCAAGAAATACGCAAGTGATGGATCAGAAGAAAATGAGGATGAGATTAAAACCCACGGAGAGCATGTTTTATTAATAATATCGTGGGGAAAAACGCATGGAATCTCCGCGAATTATGTTTACCAGTAAATGCGGCGTGTATAAGAAGCGTGTGGACACGTTTACACAAGTAAACGTGCTGACAACCGATCTCCCACTCGCGGCACAAAGTAAAGCGCGTGCCCACTTAATAAACCCACGGGTTAATAATGATCATGCAATCATTCATACAAATAATGACAAATTCGTCATTATTAACACTTGATAACACGGATAAGCAACGACCACTATTAGCACTTGATAACACCGATGAGGAACAACCACACGCGCGAATCAAAAACGCGTCTTACTTGTCCGTCTCTCTTGTCGACGAGTCGCCACACGATGACAATCGCGTTGCCGATGAGTGACACTGCTCCCAGCACCCACACGCACACGCGCAGCACAACGTTCGACATGAGGTCCTCGCAAGACGAGAACTGGTTCGGCTCGGGAAGACATTTCGTCACGCCCTTGGCGAGGCAGCAGAAGCGAAACTCATCGGTTTTCCTGGCGAGCAATTAGCAATTAGCGTAGTAATTAGTGATGGCGCGAGGGTGAAGATTGAAGGATTCGCGTGTCGCGCGGCGGGATTGCGTTGATGCTAATGAATTTTCCGCTGTTTTATTAACTGTAAACTCATATGCGCTTAAAAAACTAATTGCAGTCGGAGGAGGCGGGTGATAATGATCGCGATGCGAGTGACGATTATGAGCTGCTCTAAGTATCGGTGATATATATAGTACATGCGTGCGTGCGTGCGTGCGTGTGCGTGTGCGCGTGCGTGCGTGTGTATGTGTGTGTGTGTGTGTGTGTGTGTGTGTGTGTGTGTGTGCGTGCGCGTGTGTGTGCGTGTGTATGCGCGTGTGTGTGTGTGTGCGCGCGTGCGTGGGAGTGTGCGTGTGTGCGTGAGAGTATGCGTGTGTGCGTGAGAAAGTGTGTGGGCGTGTTTGCGGACATGTGGGTGCGCGCGCATGCATGTGCGCGTATGTAAAGGCTGCGTCGATTCCTCGAGGCGTTTTGAACTACGGCAACATTTCCAAAATTTGTTCCTTTCTCCTCGAATAATCTCATAATTCATTGCGAAAAACATAAATGTCCACTTTAACAATTAATTACGTATACATTGCGCAAACAAATTTGCATTTTTGCCACTAGAGGGCACGTACGCGTGATATATTGTAAGCAATATCAGAAATAAAGATGAAAGTCACATATTTGCCCGTGACACTCAACTCGTCCCCAGGGAGCTGATTATCATAAATCATACAACATAATTAATTATTGATTTCATGTCAGCAGCGATGACTACTCCTTGTGAATCCGCACTAAATACAGTAGTCTCACTTCACTGATTCCCTCTCTCCCATGTTCTAATTTTCTAAAGTTCACAAGTCTAATATCGTTCTACACCGTGTGTGTATAGGATTTCGCTAGGATGCATCGTAAGACATGCTCGTGCATCGGAATGTTACTTCGACATAAGATGCATCTGCTCTAGTAGCAGCTATCACGTGATTAGTAATCAGCATACGTACTATCCAAGTGCAATTTTGTCGTGTTACAGATGAATCTATGTATTAGAATTGGGTCACCAGGTAGTCCTGACCAGGTGCCTATATTAATAGGGGCAATCGCGCGCGTGTGTAACAGGCGGCATGGCGCATGCACTCACAGAGTAAGTTGCGAAAATGGAAGTCCATTGAAAACGTTGTCTTCGATCACGACTATTCGGTTGTTCGTGATGTCCCTGCGCGATTAAAAACAGAAAACACAAACACAAGCACTCGTAATTAGTCATGCTAAACGGATCTCGGAATTAAAAGGACGAGCGAGTGGCTCGCCTAGAGGCGGCGTGATGATGGGCTGAACACTGTCATCACGGGAGAGCATTTACCGTGGCATTAATTACACGCGTTATCACACAGCGGCATCAAACGCTTGCCGCAAAGCCCTGCATCGCATGTTTACTGGCCACGAGGGCCGCCAGTGGAGAGTTGCGCGGTGACTTATCCGTACACAAGTGTCGCTATAAAAGTTAATACGATTCCCGCTAATACGAATGCTGTAATCGAATGTGATGTAATGTGAAACAGAGGCGCGACCGAAGCGTCATCTTCCGGGCGATATGACCGATGAGAAAGATTATGCAAATTGCGGAATTTGACTACCTGCTCACAGTTATCGTACCCGATATACTTTTAGCAACTTACAATGATTTGAGATGTGAGAGCCCATTGAAGGCCCCGTCCTCAATGTGTTCGATTTTGTTATAAGCTAAAGATCTGAAGAAAAGAAATATGCGTGAAAGTTACTATTTATATTACGCACATGTGCCATTATGATATTATTATAATGTACATACTCGTGTCGTATCTTTTAACACCTGACTGCAAGTCATTCCAATACAAATATTTTAGTCATAAGATGGACGACTGCGAAACTATAATGATTACATTGCGTTTAGATTATTATCACGCGATAATTACGACTTACAAAGTATTCAACTGCCTAAGTCCTTGAAAAGTGTTCCGCACCAGTCTCTCGATTTGCTGGTGACTAAGATCCCTGGAAGAATAAACACAGTGACATCTTCACGCGACACATACTGTGTGTGTGTGTGTGTGTGTGTGTGTGTGTGTGTGTGTGTGTGTGTGTGTGTGTGTGTGTGTGTGTGTGTGTGTGTGTGTGTGTGTGTGTGTGTGTGTGTGTGTGTGTGTGTGTGTGTGTGTGTGTGTGTGTGTGTGTGTGTGTGT